GGGGAGCCTGCTTCCCCCACTTCCACTCCCCCTGCTTGTGTTCCCTCTCTCGCTGTCTCTCTCTCTGTCAAATAAATAAATAAAATCTTTAAAAAAAAAATTAAAAATAAATAAATAAATAAATAAAAAATAAAATATTTGTTTCTAATTAACTTAAGTCTTGAAGACATAATAGAAAAAAACGTATGGCAGAGAAAAACTTTTTTCTTGTACCAAACTGGGATAAACTATATACGTGGTAACGGAAAGCTACCCCCACAGACAAGACCTACTCTGAATCTTCAGTAAAATATTAAGAGGCAAGAAGCAGTGAGGCAGGGAGAGAAGCTGGTTACATGACTTACGTTTGTGCCTCTCAGACAATGAAGTGGTTAGCAGGGGCAGGCTTACAAGCCTCCAGCAGAAGGCAAGGCACAGAGCTGAGGCTTTAATTCCTGGCAAACTCACTTGGAGATGCCAAGTGGGCGGTGCTATGAATCAGGGGGTGGGGCCGGGGGTGAGGGGAAGGAAACGGAGAAGGAGCACTTACTCGGTTAGAAGCTGGTGCAGCTTGTGATAACCCCGCTCCAAGGCCAAGCTCACAGGTGTCGCTCCTTCCTGGTTGTGGATGCTGAGAGCCCCTCGGCCACCTGGCTTCTGCAACAGGAACCACGTCAACCTCAGCAGCCCCAGCCGCACGGCAAAATGCATCAATGTCTCTCGGGGGCCGCCATCTGTACGTGGGTGAGAAAATCAGTATGGAGAACATGAAAACAACAAACAGAAAAACAAGTTATGTGAGCACTGCACTGCTGCCTCCAAGTACCTAAGATCCTAAAGTTAAACCACGACATAAACAGTCTGACTGGGGTGGGCTACAACCAGCGCCCGCATAAAGACAGAACAAAGCTGGAACACAGTTCGAGAAGTCTCCGAAGAGAACCACGCCATTCTGTATTCTGATTTTACACGTTTGTGCAATCCATTTATACAGGCAGATTTATAAGGGTGAATTCACACATATGTTCTTTTCCTTAAACGGGGGGGGGAATGCAGCCTCACAACGTGGGGACCCACAGGGAACAGTTGCTGGGGCTTAGATGGGTGTATCATAAAAGGTATAATTAAAGAAAAAATAACACCCAGACAGGAGTTGGCTAAACACTAAGAACAGGTTCTGCGTGTTAAGCACACACAGGTCTTTTTATTCCCCCACATTAAGGGCAAATCAAATTGCTGACACTGCGAGCTTTTTCTGTTTTGCTTAATGAAAGAAAGAAATGCATCTCCAAGCATAGTAAGAAAGACTAATTTTAAGATAATATACTAGTACGTTCAGTAAGAAAAACATGTACTTGGGCTTATTTCACTTGAGGGGAAGGCCCCTCTTTGGTACAGCGAGTCAAGTGGTGCAACGAGGAAGGGCTCGGGAGTCAGGCAAATCTGGGTTTGGATGTGGCCATTTACCACCTGAGACCGGGCCTGATCCATTCTTACTTCTCTGAGCTTCATTTCTTCATCCCTAGGTGGGGCACCTGCACCTCACACCCAGGGTGGCTGCAACAAAAGGGCGCAGGCAGGCGGAACGCGGGGATCAAGAGCAGCTGCACAAGATCCTCACTCAATGCTAGGTTCCTTCCTGTTCCCGGCTCTCTCCTCTTGCCTTGGGCTTCAAGTTCCCGGTTCACTAACAACCTCTCTTCCTCAGGGCCTCTCCTGTGCCCAACCTGCAATGACAGGGCTACAGCCATGCCAGGGTTGTGGTACCTGCCCGTGCCCTGCCCCATGGGCCGGGCAGGACTCACCTCCAGGGGCGCCACTCAGACACCGCCATAGGAATGGCGCCCAGGAGCTGTGCCTGCCTCCTTCCCTCATTCTCCATGGCTTCCATAGGTCTCAACTCCTTCCCTGGGCGTTCCCAGACTTCTTGGACCCCACTGTTTTCTCCTTACACATAACTCCTCCATGCTTCTCATGTGACTAGCAGTGAAGAACGAATCCATCTTTGAACCTGTGATTTTACACTGAACCTCACTGCTTCCCATCAGTCTAGTGTCCCTACTGTGATGCAAAAGCTATCTTTCGTATTATACATTTTTCCTACAGAACTACGCACACTAATTCAAGAATTTACAGGGTGTTCATCAGAGGCACGTGGCTGGAAAGAGATCAACACCCCAGAAGAAACCACTGCATGTGCAGGTACAAACTGTAATAAGCAACATCTCAGAGCAGGTGGCAGGGCCAGACAAAAGGGCAAAAAGAACCTTCACAGAAGATCAAGTATCACCATCTGACTTGTGCCTTACAGTTATTCACAAGCACTCTGACACCCTTATCAAAACCAAAGAGCTAATAAGGCACCGACCAGGAACTATGTGACTTTTTAGAGACTGGTCAATTCCAGTGTTACTAGGTGACACCTCCTCAAAGCAGTTTTCTCTACACCCTCACCCTTTCCAATCCCTGATTTGCAGAGTCAGCTCCGTATTTACAAGTTCCAACAACAAAGCCATGCACCTGCTCGAGGCGGGCACCCTGGTTCCAGCACCTGTATCCTCCCCAGATCTGATTCTAAGTCCTAAGCAGCAGGTGCCACATGTACTTGTAGGTTGCCCCCTTTCTGCAATCAACAGAGGACAAGAAGTGTAATGCGTGGTCAGGACCCGTGAGATGCTATGCTCTGGGCTATGTATTTTGTATTAACGCTTTTCACGCTCACAATAACCCTATGAGGTCTCATTATCCGCAGTCTGCAGACAAAGACAGGTTAATAACTTAACCACAACAAGAATCAGCAAGATTTGAAAATTCTTCTGTCAAGTCTAGAGACCATACCCTCTCCATTAACTCCACCCTCTTTTTATAAAAATTAAGCCATCAGGCAAGTGAGCTAATGTTGGGGTTTACAAAGCACCTTTTCACGTTTTCCTCCAATAAATAAAAATTTTTACCCAACTTATCCTTCGTTACTGTTTTTATTCCTTTTGTCTCAGTGTAAACTCCGGCATGCCTACAATTCAGGCCCAACTTCTGTTCTCTGGTCTCTATATTCTGTATTTTTTCCTCTCATGATCCTTTGTCTTTTCCCTCTGTATTCTGAGAGTTACTCAACTTTGTTCTTCAGATCACTAACTGCATTTCCTGTGATGTCAATTGAGTCCTTTGTCCCCAGTTTGAGTTTAATTATGCTATGGGATTCTGGATGTCCCTGCATCATTTCAAGCAATTCCTTTTCCATCTTTGCCCTCACCGTGATGGCTTTTTGCAGATGTAATTAAAGCCCCTAATCAGTTGATTTAATAATGAAGATTATCCCGGATAATCTGGGTAGGTCTAACTGAATCAGCTGGAAAGCTGTAAAAGCAGGGCTGAGGTTTCCCCTGGAGGATGCCCTGAGCCTGTGCTCTTGGGGCTCCATCCTGCTCTGGATCTCCCTTTCCTGACTGAGGATGACAGCTTTGGCTCAATTCAGTGGGTTTTTGTTGTTGTTGTTATTGTTGTTTTAAGATTTTATTTATTTATTTGACAGAAAGAGACGGTGAGAGAGGGAACACAGGCAGGGGGAGAGGGAGAGGGAGAAGCAGGCTTCCCGCGGAGCAGAGAGCCCGATGCGGGGCTCGATCCCAGGACCCTGGGATCATGACCTGAGCTGAAGACAGACGCTTAACAACTGAGCCACCCAGGCGCCCCTCAATTCAGTGGGTTTGAGCTTGCCCAGGATATTCTCCTCTATTCCTGCCCTAGAATCTTGGACTTGCTTAACCAGCCCCCACAATCATGTAAGCCATGCCCTGCAATAAATCTTAACGCATATTTCTTCTGCTGGTTCTGATTCTCTGGTTGAACCCTGACTGAGGGGCTTCCGGCATATTAAGTAGATACTTCCTAAACTTATTTTTCTCCTGGCTGCTTCCTTTTCTAATTTCATAATAGGTCTGCCCTCTTTTGAGCTTTTAAAGGACAAATGGGAACTCTCTTCTAAATTTTTATTTGGTTTCTTAAAGAAAATTATACTCGGGAAGTCTTCCATGTGAATACTCATGATACTTTCCCGTTTCCTTTAGGCTGTAATTTATTTCACAGGCCATGTGCTGGTTGGCTGGCTTTCCCATTTAACCATGCTCAATTGGAAAAATCTCTATGGAGGCCCGGCTTCTACCCATGGAGAAGGTAGCAGGAAATGTCTTAAGTCCCACCTGCAATCCACGTATATGCTGGAAGCACCTCCCACACCCATTCCCTCCGATCTGCAGAGAAAGCTGATGTGCCTAGCAGGCATTCAACCACAATGAGTATGCTAGATGGCAGCGACTTTTTCAGTGTCAGATTTTCTGATGAAGCAAAACGTTCTAAATTCTGTGAACAATATAGCAATCAAAGACTACATATGTTTTTCCTTCCCCATCAATCCCCCTAAATGCCCTGCTCACAGTACTCTCTGAGTCCCACATCTATGAGAATCCAAAGGCACCATTCCTTCTACTGTTCTGTACTGCCTCTCACATAAAGCCACAGGCCGGCACGATGCGGTAATTCTCATACTCTGCGGGGAAGGAGAACAGTGGGCCGGTGCGAGCAACGGGCTTGCAGAAAATGACAGCGGTAGCCTTGTCAGAGAATCATGGTTTGAGAGGCAACGAAACCTTCTGGAGCTGAAGTCCTGCCATGACGAGGACCTGCTTGTCCTGGAGTCAACAGATATTAATCCTCTGCCAAGAAAAAAAATTCCCAATGGCCTTTTTATATTTTATTATTTTATTTTTTAGCAGCTATGATAGCTGAAAAAAGACGCAAATATTAGTGAGTGTAGCTAAGGAAAAAGGAACTAAAACCCCGGACAATTAAGGCTGAGGTGGTAGTGACCGACATCAGATACACAGAACTGAGAATGCCCTGGCTGTGCTCGGTGCGGTCTTTCTTAAACCTGTCTAATCCTGCTCTCCACCCAAATTTCTCCTTGTGGGGAGGATTCCCACCCCCAAAGATGGTAAGATCTTTTCATTCAGTCACACAAGACTGTGACTAAGAATGAAGATCTCCCCCAGGACGTTTCTCCTCCTCCCCTTTCTTCAGAGCTAGTCTGCAGGGAGCAGCCCCTGCTACCCTAGAAGGTCCCTTCAGGTGAAAACCATCTCAGTGCACCCCTTTCACTAGCCACTCTGAGGAGCAGAGACAAGGAAGTGAGGCTTGGTCACTCACAGGGAAGTTCTCCTTGACTCCCCCATGCACCCTCCACCCAGATGCATCCTTATTACTTATATTTAAAGCAGAACTAAGGCCAAAGTACAGCACAGAAGCTGCTTTATGTAACTAGGGATGGAAGGACTAGATGGACAAACTCCCTCTTGTTTGTGGCTTAAAGTGAAGAGTAACTTTCTAGAGATAAGTAAAAGCAAAACAGTCTCATTCTGCTTCAAAGAACCGTTCTTTCTAGTGCTGTTCTGTGACAGCCTTCCACAGGACATGTTACTGTCCCTCACAGAACTCAACAGTGTTCTGTCTCTAATAGGTTACTGGACAGTGGTCAAGGTATATTCAAAACAAAGAGCTTACACACCAATACACACTCTCCCAATAGGTCTTCCTCCATTTCACAGATAAAGAAACTGGGGAACAGAGATGAAGTACTTGGCACAAAGTACTGCAATGAAGCCAGCCTATAAACAAGTGGAACCCACTGCCTATGCCCTTCCCATATTATGGTATCAAATCTAAACCAAGAGTTCTCAACATCATGTTCATGCCTGCTGTCCAGGAGACCAACAAGCCCTGAAATAATATGTAAATTGTTTCAGGTATGCACCTAGATGCACTTCTTCCTGAGGAGAAATCTAAGCTACTTTCAAAGGAGTCAGTGACCTGAAAAAAGTTAAAAAGCACTGCATCTTGGGGCGCCTGGGTGGTTCAGTTAAGCGTCTGCCTTCAGCTCAGGTCATGATCCCAGAGTCCTGGGATCGAGCCCCACATCGGGTTCCCTGCTCCACGGGAGGCCTGCTTCTCCCTCTCCCACCCGCCCTGCTTGTGTTCCTTCTCTATCTCTCTCTCTGTCAAATAAATAAATAAAATCTTAAAAGAAAAAAGCACTGCATCTAAACAAAGAGTGGGAGGATTAACCACAAATCTTATATGACCCCTTTGTGCAAATATCAGGCTGGGACAACTGTAAACATCCTAGCTTTCAACAGCAAGTAGTCCTGTTATGTAACAGGGTGCCCTGTTTACCTGTCTCATTATCCCAGGCGACAAGCCTGCTTCATACCTTCTTCCTTTAAGTACCTTTGCAACCCACTGATGTGAGCAGAACGTTCCTTTACATTTGTCCCTCAGCAGCAAGCACCTCTTAACTGATGCTACGCTGCCTTTAAAGTACCCAGTGGTGTAGATTCTAATCCACAATTAATGGAACAACTTACACTGCAGAATGCGAATCTGGCACTTGAAATCAGGTTTCTGATTCCAGTTGTTGACTTAAAGGAGGGCTATCAAGTTCCGTGCATGCATTTCACCTTGCAAAGTATATATACCTAGCTTGTTCAATTTCTTTTTGTTCTTTTATTTGTAATTCATGTACAATAAAATTCACTTGTGTGGGGCGTTTAGTCCTGAGTTTGAACACATGCATAGATTCTTATAACCACTACCACCAAGACATAAAACCATTCCAACATCTAAACAATTTCTTCATGACAGCCCTCTGCAGTCAGACCTCATCCCCACTCCTAGTCCCTGGCAACTACTCATCTATTTTCTGTTCCTATAATTTTGCCCTTTTCAGACTGTCATATAAGTAGAATCATACACTAAGTAACCTTTGGAAATGGACTTGTTTTACTTAGCAAAATGCATCCAGGTTGTTGCATGTGGACCCCCAATAATCTGTCCCCTTTATTATTTTTAAATTTTATACCCCCCCCTTTTTAATGATGAGTAGTGTCCCACTATATGGATATTATCACTATTGGTTTATATACTCACCCAATGAGAGAGATTTGGGTTGGTTGCAGTTTTGAGTGATTACAAATAACGCTGCTGTAGGCATACCTGTGCAAAGATTTTCTGAGAAAATGTAAGTTTTCATTTCTCTAGAATAAACAGCCAAATGTGGAACTGCTGGGTCATATGGCAGACGTACACTTAACCTTACAAGAAACTGCCAAACTGTCTCTCAAGTGTCTGCATCATTCTGCACTCCCACTAGCCGTGTATGAGACACTGGTCTGTGGCCTTACCAGCCCCTGGTAGTTTTGATTTTACCCTTTCTAAGAGGTGGGTAATGGTGCCTTACTGTGGTTTTAATGCGCTTCCCTAACTATTCAAACTTGATTTAGCTTTTCCTAGTACCGGTTGAGCAATTCTGTACAACAGAAACTGAAGAAGCACATGGCAAGTCCACAAAAATATCAAAGCTGGCCAGTTCCCTATGAAAGACAGGGAAGCTAAGGCCCAGAGAGGGGAAGTGACAGGCCCAGTTTCAGACCTGTGCTTTTTTTTTTTTTTTTTAAGATTTTATTTATTTTTATTTGAGAGAGAGGGAGTACATGAGAGGGGGGAGGGTCAGAGGGAGAAGCAGACTCCCTGCCGAGCAGGGAGCCCGATGCGGGACTCGATCCAGGGACTCCAGGATCATGACCTGAGCCGAAGGCAGTCGCTTAACCAACTGAGCCACCCAGGCGCCCAGACCTGTGCTTTTTCTAACAGTTCTTTTTAATTGTGGTAATATGAACAAACGATCCAACTCCTATGCCTGCTTTCAATAAGACAAAAACAAAACCATAAAAATACCATAAGCCCCATAAATAACTAATGCAATCCCATCTTGACACTGTTTTGTAAATGGCAACCAGAATTAAGGCTGCCATACCAATACAGAACAGCAGGGAGTAGAGGTATAAAGCCTCAACATGAGGTTTCTGAAAAGGTGCTCATGCCCTACATGATGGCAAATATTTTGATCTTGAGATCTTAGCAGTGCAGGGGTTCCTTGGTCACTGTATTAATTAGGAAGAAAAAAGGATAAATCCTTTTTTCCTTGACTGGATTTTAGAGTCCACACTTTATTTTTTATTTTACTGAGGCAGGACTGTTCCAGTAGTTAGCTGCAGCCAGCCCCTGATGCTAAGGGACACCACTCCTGCAGCTGATCATAGGGTCACAGGATTTAAGAAAACCAAAGCTGGCAAATACCTCTTTAGCATTCTTCCATGGGAGGAAGTCTGTGACAGCAGGCACTGAGCATTCCCCTACCCAGTCCCCTCTGGGTGTTCCTGCTCAGGATCTGCTCATGGGCAGAGAGGGTGACTTCTGGCCCGCTCTCCTTACGGAATACAATAATCAGAGCTGAGTGGCCATGGAAGGGCAGTCCTGTGACTCTCCGGCTCTTGCAGGGATAAAGGAGGAAGAGGAGCAAACCCTCCCGGCAGATGCAGCATCAGGAGCCCAATGAGCTGTCATCAGCAGCAAGGCAAACATTCGGACCTCCATCTGCGTAACTCCTAAACCTTTCCATTTGATTTGAACTCAGGAGGGAAAGAGGGTGTTATTTATTGGACCCCAAGCATATACTCTTTCATTTAAATACAGCCATAAAACCATGACATTTAGTAGATACCCATCTGCTACAGGAATGATTATGTAGGAAAACCCCTGAGTAAGAGGAACATACAGAGTTACTACACCCGTGCCTTTTTTTTTTTTTTTTTTTAAGTGGAGCTCTCCCTTCAGTGAGCTCTTATACGGAGAGCCAGTAGCTGAAATAAGAATGAAATTGCTCTGGTTAAAGAAGTGTGGGGTTTCTCAGAGCCCAGGAGGCTCTGGTGCTCCCCCCACCTCAATCCCCCATCTTTTCTTTCCTCCAACTCCATAGAGTCTCTCGAAAACTTCAGAATACAATAATGAAAGCCCTGTCTTTGATAATTAAATACCAAAAGGATGACAAAAAGTTACTCTGCTACTGTGCTTACGAAGGATAGGTCACTTCCTACGCCTGGGAGAACAAGCCAGAACTTGGGACCTGCAGCAAGGTGATGTGTGTGCCGTTCTCTGCTCCAAGTGGGAACTGAAATCAGCCACAGCAAGCTCCGGCTTGGGGCATTTCACTGCAAGAACAGGTTTAACAGCTCAGCTGAAGAACTGAGAAGAGAAGCCATAAGGCCACTGTGCTCCGGTAACTGCAAGATTTATCCAGCCACTGTGAAAGGCCTGAGGGCTATAGAAGCAGCCCCACTGAAAACCTAAGTATTCCAAACTCAGTCCGTTTGTGGGTCATTTAAGTGCTTACCATGCAAAGTCTGATCTGTTCCCAACACATTCCACTCTGCCGGCAGCTTCAGGTGTCTGAATGCCAGGGCAACCTTCTCATCAAGGGTATTCACATCCACAGCCGGGGGTCCCGACCGGTCAAGAAAACGGGTGAAGTTCAGAGCCTGCTGATTCCCAGCACTGGTAGCCAGGAACTGGGCTGCATCGTATGCCTCGTCCTGGATGAACTGGAAGTCTTCTTCAGCCACCACGAACACGGGGAGGCCCTCCTTGGAAGCACAGAGTAGCACCTTCACGGTCTCACAGCAGTCGTGACCTAAACAAAACACACGGAGCAAGAAAACGGTCTAAGTCCTCCCGCTGGGAGGAGGACAATCTCAGAGTCCTCCCGCTGGGAGGAGGACGGTCTCAGAGTCCTCCCGCTGGGAGGAGGACGGTCTCAGAGTCCTCCCGCTGGGAGGAGGACGGTCTCAGAGTCCTCCCGCTGGGAGGAAGGCACTAGTGGGTCCTCTTTGCTCTTCTTACACAATACAGTTCTTCCTAAAAGAAACCCCTCCTTCCTCTGCTCTGACAGCAATCTAAACTTCTTTACACTTATTTCTAGCTTTCTGTGAACTGTTATTTACAACTATGAATTAGTTCCCTTACTGCTAGCAAACAACTCTGTACTCCAAATATATCCCCTAGAGCTGAACAGTCTCTGAGGATCTCAGGATGTACTGAATCATGACTGTTCAACTCGAACAGAGGAAAGAATGAAAGCTCAAGGATCTTGTCAGGCCTACCAAGTCTGACACGACTGAACTGAGCTAGATCTGGAAACCCAACAGGGAGAAAGCCATGCAGACTGGTTAACATAGGAGGAATTATTATACAGATTCCCCAGCACTGCCCTATTATCACCACCATGCAATCTATCAAATGATGAAACATTTTGAAAAGCACAAAACTACTTATTTTATTTCACTGTTATTAGCAATTCAAGGCCTACCACAAAAATGACTTCTGCTGTCAGATACACGTTCTTTCCTGTAATGTAATGACATCATCAACATCGCCTGGTTCACACAAGGATGATGCGATGCTGTGGCCAGAAGCCTGGTTCAAGGAGAGCAAGCGTGCCAGAGATCAGTGCCCACCGTACAGATGGGCAGACCTCAGGAGCTGCAACATACACACCACCCCAGAGAGCTCCACTTGAGTAAAATCCACACTGTTACTGCGAGTAAGGCGTTCCTGGAGGAATCAGTCTCTGCGGGATTTTTAGCCTCACAGAATTAAGTATGTACAACATGCAGAATAGAGTCATTGAAACACACTGTTTTCCCTCAACTTCCCAACACTGATGTCAACTGGCTAGAAGAACGCTCCTAACATCATCATTCTTCTTCCAAAAAATCTCTCTGATGAGAAAAACAGAAAGGAAAATGGAGTCGGGTGTTTCTGCTGCGTGCGTGATGCCACCTTGTGCTTTGCCTGAGTCACCGCAGGCCCCCGCACCCGCAGTTTCCCTGCACCCCCTTGCACGCAGACTGCTTGTCCACGGTGGGAGTGAGGCTGAGGAAGCCCTCTCCAGGTCCACAGATCTCACTTTCCATACTGCGGCCACAGGCCAGGAGAGGCTTCAGACATGGACAGAACAAACTAAGCTTTCTGCTGCCTTTGAAAGAGAAAACAGTAATTGTTTTTCCGTGTGAACAATGAGAATAATAAGTAAATTGATTTTCCGCATATGATTCTCCAGGGGCCTCCTTAAGCCCTTTACCCTGGTGACAAAAGAAATCTCTCACTGTTGTGTAACTTTAGGGGGGCTGCAAGTATTTACTGACCAAGTATCTACTACATATCAGGCACCCAACATGTCATTTTCTCTATACAACAAATTTATGAGGTATGTATTGTCCTCACGTTACAGATGACAAAACTGAGACTTCATGAAGTAATATGCCCAAGGTTACACAGATATTTGAAGCAGAATCCATTATTCAAATTCAAGTCTAATGCCAAAGGACGTGGCCTATTATGTCATGATGCAAGAGTTCTGTCCCTGCCTGCAAGGAGCCCAATACTCAAGTGACCGGCCAGTAAGACTATTGAGCAAGAACAGGTTCATTAACCACTGAGGTCAGCTTCCACATAAACAGGTAACTCCACCACATACAACCTCCTGCTTTTGGAGTTGAATTCTTTCTATGAAGGCTGTAAGAAAAGGGAACATGCCCTGCCTGGGCATGTGTGTGCGCCCGCACACACCTGTGTGTATACCCACATGTGTATTTCAATTCAATACATATGTTTAATTTATGTATTTAACATATGAAATGAAATTAGGAAAAAAATCCTAATCTTCCTTTGAAGGGCAGCCAGCCTAATTATATAAAACAACAATGTCAATAGAAACAAGTCAACTAATTCAGGTAGGAGATTTGGAGATTTTTCTGGCAGAAAGTGTTTCTTTTAAATTGTTCTATAATGGGGCGCCTGGGTGGCTCAGTCATTTAAGCATCTGCCTTTGGCTCAAGTCATGATCCCAGGGCCCTGGGATGGAGCCCCGTGTCTCTCTCTCCCTCTGCACACCCCATCCCCTGCTTGTGCAGCACGTGCTCTCTCTCTCTCTCAAATAAATAAAATGCTTTTTTTAAAAGGTAAACAAAACAAAACAAACAAAAAACCCTGTTCTATAACATCCAACAGCTAGATATGCACCAAGCCCAGGGCACTGTGATTACAAAGGTGCAAGTCTCAGCCCTCCATTTCAACCCTCCAGAGGTTTACAGTCTATAAGGGGGAATCAAACAAGTTGCAGAGAACTGCAAAGGAAGTTCTCTGGAAACACACAGCGCACCTGGCGCGAGAGAAGCAGGACATTTCACAGGTAAGCGCAGGAAGACTTCACAAAGGAGGTGGCTGCTAAGAAGAACCTTTCTGACAGGGACCCTGCTCCTGGCTCTGCAACCCCTGGAGTTCTTCACTACAACCCTCAGAACTCAGATGCATGGTGCCTATCTCATCTTACCAACACACACTTACATAATACTTGTGATGTGCTCGGCTCTGTTCTCTGTGCTTCCAAGGAACAGTTCATGTACTCCTCATAGCAACCCTATGTGGCAGATACTATGATTACACCATCTACTAGATGCAGAGACCAAGGCACAAAAATATTAATTTGCCCACAGTGATAAAGTTCCTGGGTGGCAGAATTAGAACTTGAGCCCACTTCCTTGCTCTAGAGTCTGCCCCTTCTCCCAAGATTTATGGGTACAAGAAGACTTTTAGAGGAAATAAGCGACCATGGAAGAATCAACAGGGAAGGAATAAAAACACCGTGCTCAAACCCTGGCTGTAAGACTCTTACACTGTGTGACCCCAGATCACTTCTGCTTCTCTGGGCCTCAACTTCGTCATTTATAGCATGAGGGAGCAGCCCCTACAGCCCCCAGTGTTTCTCAGAGGTCAAAGCCTGTGGGTGTCACCAGGCAGCAGCTGGACAGGGAAAGTTAGCAAGAGATTCCAACAATAGAGAACAGTTTGAAAAGCATAAAAATGGAAGCAGAAGGTAAGTTCAAGGAATGGAAATTACAGTTTCGGGAGGATATTAACTTGGTTACATCTAGATGCTCAGTGACAGCAGAGACCTGGGTTCAAACCTATTTTCCTTACTTGTTAGCTATGTGGCCTGAGGTAAATGACAACACCTCTAACACTGTTAAATCTAGACAGTCTCCTGATCTTGTAAGTGAAGAGCTAGAATTTAGAAGAGTCTTCTCAAATCTTTAATACCATCACCCAAAACAACATCACACCTAGCCTCGATTCATTTCCAATTAAATAAGACAGACAGAAAGGTGTAACAATACGTATTCCAGTCAGAAGAATTACTTTAAAGTAAGAACGGTGTGGTTCATGACTCTAACCAATAATTACAGCACAGCATTACAAGCCTCCAGCCTGTGCAAAGGTGAGAAATCCAAAAGTGTGAACCAGAAAGGGAGTCACAATGTCACTAATGGCCTCCACCAACCTATAAATACCTAAACACCATCTGCCCCCCGTAAGAGCTCCTTCTGTAGAGATACGGAGTGCACCCCATATTCCAGGTTTCCAGATCTTCAATTTCACCACACACACACACACACACACACACACACACAGGGTGTGTGAGCGCAGAAAAGCCACGGTGAAGCAATACTACCTTACTCAAAACTGCCAAGGGCAGAAGTGTCTGCACACAAATCTATCTGGCTAGGACAGGGTGAAGACAAACAAAGGGGAGAGAAACAGAAGGTGGCTCAGAAGTTGTGTGTGTGTGTGTGTGTGTGTGCTGGGACACACGCATGTGTGTTTATTAGCAGCCCACGTGTGCCTATCTCTTTCTGCCGCTTTAGCAGAAAAAATTGGTTAGAAGGTGGATGGTGGAAGGTGGTGGGTGGATGGGTGAACTGTCAGCTCTGTGTATACGTTTTTGTGTAAAATAAAACTGTATCAGAGGAGGCAGAATGTCAGGAAAGGCCATGAAACAGAAACCCAGGAGCAGCGATCTGATTGTTAGCCCGATATTTTTCCCTTCAGACATAAACTCACAATCTGAAGGAGAGACTATGAATCATCCTAAGTAAAATGTGCCATAAATCTGGAATTTGTTTGGTATGATTACAGGCTTCTTTTTCAAAAGAAACACTGAGGAGTAAAAGAGGAGTGGAGGGCTGAGGGTGTCCTGGACCGGCCTTTATTTTAAAAACTTAAGAGTACACGGGGAGGGCTCTACCACTCAAAACCACAGCGCCTCACCCCACCCCGTCTGGAAATCAGCACATGAGGCTGCCCGCGCTACTCTCTCCCACTAGTATTTTTTGTTATGCTCGAGTGGGTCTCATGACTATTTTTTAATCCCTATAATCTTTCAGATAAAGCATTTAGGGGGGAAAAAAAATCAACATGTTAAAAAACAAAGTTATGTAATATGGACCCAGTAATAAAACAAAGCCCGCTGCACATGCACACATAAAACATCTTGCTGCCATGAATTAGCTCTAGAGACATGACTCTCTCCAGGGCCATCAGCCTTCCAACTGCCTTTGTAGACACAAAATGCAAGGTATTAACGATGCCCACACCTATACTGAAAAGACACAGAAACCACATCTGATTTGATATAATCGCCACAATTCAACCTCTCTTTACATAAAAAACAGAAGCTGCACTAGAAAGACGAGGGTTTTCAGCCAGTGGCACAGTGTTTCTCCTTCCACTCAATCTCCTGGTAACAAAGAAGGAAAATAAGAATCACAAGTTTTTTTAGAAAGGGAAGTTCTG